AGTTAATTTTACATTTTTAGATTGATTGGTAAATTAGTTTGTTTTATAAAAAGGAAAAATCACAAAAAATAACTTATTTTTGCACTTTTTATTTTTTAGCTTCTAATTTTGTAGTTTTCTTNCCCCCGTGCCTCCCCTATCTTATCATTTTCATGTTCCTAGCACTATTGTACCGGATTTAGTGTTCAGTAAACTCATATCTGGATTTCTTAGTTGCTCATGAGTTGTGACACCCCGATTTGGGCTGTGTCGGGATGGTTTCTCCTATTGTTATCATTATTTCTGCAAATTATGACTATTAGATCCTGTTTAACCACTGTTTATGGTGTTTAACTGTTTAAAAGAGGTGTTCGGTTTTGTCTGGCTAGCCTTGTCTTCACGAGAGGCGCCATCACGACCGGGTTTGGGAATTTGGGGTCGTGACAAACAGCTTGTATGTTAATGCTGTTTATTAACGTAGGTGCAGGATTTCTAAGTGATAAACATGTATTAGTGTCAAATGAGATGCTGAAGCAGTATACGTGAAACCTAAGAGCATGATATCTAGTTCATGACACGATTTGAATGTATTGATCCTAAAGCAGGGATTCTAATGCAAGTATAAATAAGGTAAAGCCTATAACATGCTTTCTACCCCAATGATATTGATAGAAATATATAGCGACCCCATTTCACTAGTCATCCCCAATATTCGTTTACGAATAATTATTACAGACCAGTGTGAGCACGTGATTTTTTCCTCACATGAATTATTCCTACAGAATTCCAAAGAATTAGATTTTCCTTTAATTATTTGTTATTAAATAATACATTATATTTTTTCCTTTCATAAAAAAAATACAAAAATACATTGCATTTGCATTTAGGATTTAATTTTACATTTTTAGATTAATTACTAAATTAGTTTGTTTTACAAAAATGAAAAATCACAAAAAAAATAGTTCATGTTGTACTTTCACTCTTTAATTTCGAATTTTGTAACTTTTTCTTTTAAATTAGGAGTTAATTAATTTTTGTAAATACCATGCTTGTGTAGTTAATATTTTTGATAGGTTAATTTAGTTTTAAGATTTAATTTAGGTTTTAATTTTTAATTTTGAAAAGAAAAGAATTTTGAAATTGAAAAGAAAAGAAAAGGAATTATAGAAGAGGATTTTGGGCTCTTTCATTTAATTTTCCCCAGCCCCAAATCGTTTTCCTCCATTACCCGTCCAAACCCAACCAAATCAGGCCTAAACCCGTTCCCCTACCCGGTCTACCCCACCAGTAACCAAAACGACCCCGTTTTGATTCCTCAAATCAGGACCGTCGATCTCACTTGATCGAACGGTCCGGAACTGGGTCCAAAAAATATATAACTGTCCTAAAGCCAACCTCCCCCCCCCCCCCCGTTTCGTCTCTCTCACTTCATCTCCCATCCTCAGAGATCAAATCCTAACCCTAGCGCCGCCCCCAAATCCTCCATCTTCTCCGGTGGCGGCGCCATATCTAAACCGTCCCAAATCCACACCACATAACTCCCATGACTCCCTCATACCAAATCCGGCACTCTTTTCCCTCGAATCACCCTAATCCTCTTCGAATCTTAAATCTGAGTCGAACCCTAAAATCCGAAAACCCCCAAATCAAGATTCCAGTGAAGAATTAAGGTCTAGTTGGATTTTATTCGTGTGTTCTTGACAAGAACACACGAGTAATGTCAAACTCGGCCTAAATTTTAAGGTCTGAAGATTCGTCTCATTTCTTTACTGTCCGAGCCATTTTAGGTATTTTTCCTTTTCTTTTTGTATTGGGTGATACCCCTTTTTGCTTGAGCCCGACCGGGTTGGGTCCGGTCCGGGGCAAGTCGGGGCCATCGAACCCGACCTGGATGCAAGGTAGAACGACGGCCACGTCTACAACCGAGGTCGAGTCATTTCGAGACCGTTGCAGAGCTCGATATGAGTCACCACCGGATGGAGAAGCACACAAGGTCGGAAGCCGGACTCGTAACGGATAACCAAGCGTCGCCGGATATCTCGCCCAAACGTGATTTTCTCAACCACTTCAGGCCATTAAGGCGTAATTACAGGGATCCACGATGTAATTAATTTACCTACCTTATTTTTACCCTTAATCAGAATGTATAAAAGGGGAGAAGACCCCATAAAGAGGGGATCGGAAACCATTACACTACAGTACCATCTCTCTCAATTCTTGTACGCTATCAAGCACAATTGTTCTAAGCAATATTATATTCTGCGATTATTTACTTTAACAGCAATTGTTGAGTCTTTATCTTTTATTTTCCTCAATCCAAACCTTTAGTATCTTTTAGTTCACGGATCCTTAAAACCCCATATAAATTCAATTGTTATCCGGATTCCAGGGTAAACAGTTTGGCGCCCACCGTGGGGCTAAGGATATTAGTGAGCTCTTTGATACTCTTTCTTGACGCATCACAATACACTGGTTCTTTGCAAAAGAGTCCATCTTACATCCAAATTGCCAACTCATAGAATGGCACAATCAATCAACAACGAACTTGAACAGCAGACAGGAAACAATGGAATGCCCAGGCTCGAAAACCCGATAGATGCCGATTCCCGGATGGCGCTCAACACTGATCAGGCCTCCGGATCATCACATAGCGTCCGGGGAGAGGACGATTCGAGGGCCCAGGCAGTCGGCGAAGAGACTATCAACCTTAAAATGATTTTTGACATGCTGCAAGCCCAGCAATCGGCTATAGCTCAGCTCCAGAGCCGGGTCCAGGAGCCTGTCAGGTCCGAAGAAGCTCCCCGTGCAGCTGCAATCATCAATCCGACCCCAGTACAGCCGGAACGGGGTGGGCCGGATGCTGATTCTGCGGTTCTTAGGAGGCTAGAAGAATTGACCGAACGAATCGAAAAGGGGGAGGAAAAGATCGAGGCCAACAATAAAAAAGTAGAAACATACAACTCCAGGGTCGACCAAATACCAGGTGCACCTCCGGTCCTGAAAGGCCTTGACGCTAAAAAGTTTGTACAAAAACCGTTCCCATCCAGTGCCGCCCCAAAACCTATCCCTAAGAAATTTAGAATGCCCGATATCCCGAAGTATANCCAAAATTAGATTTTTTCTTTTAATTATTTGTTATTTTAGGAATTATTGTAGAGTTTTTCTGATTGTTTGCATTTTTGTGTGCATGTTTGATCTTATTTAATTCATAAAAAATACAAAAATACATTGCATTTGTATTTAGGAGTTAATTTTACATTTTTAGATTAATTGGTAAATTAGTTTGTTTTATAAAAAGGAAAAATCACAAAAAATAACTTATTTTTGCACTTTTTATTTTTTAGCTTCTAATTTTGTAGTTTTCTTTTAATTTGGTAATTAATTGGTTGTTGTGAATATTACTTTTAGTAATCAATCTAATTTGGTAAGGATAATTTGGGTTTTAGAATTAATTTAGGTTTTATTTTAATTTGGAAAAGAAAAGAAAATTAGAAATTGAAAGGAAAAGAAAAGGAAATAAAAGAAGAAGTCTGGTTCTTGGGCCATTTTAATTCAATTCCCCCCAAGCCCAATCAATTAAACACAAATACCCACTCAAACCGGCCCAGATCCGCGTCCCAACCGTTCCAAACCCCCATTAGTAACCAAACGACGACGTTTTGGATTCCCTAATCCAAGCCGTTGATCTCGCTTGATCGGACGGTCCGGAACTAGGTTCCAAAAAATATATAACTGTCCTAAAGCCTACCCCCCCCGTTTTGTCTCTCTCACTTCATCTCTCATCGTCAGAGACAAAATCCTAACCCTAGCGCTGCCCCCAAATCCTCCATCTTCTCCGGTGGCGGCGCCGTATCTAAACCGTCCCAAATCCACACCACATAACCTCCATGACTCCCTCATACCAAATCCGGCACTCTTTTCCCTCGAATCACCCTAATCCTCTTCGAATCTTAAATCTGAGTCGAACCCTAAAATCCCAAAACCCCCAAATCAAGATTCCAGTGAAGAATTAAGGTCTAGTTGGATTTTATTCGTGTGTTCTTGACAAGAACACACGAGTAATGTCAAACTCAGCCTAAATTTTAAGGTCTTAATATTCGTCTCATTTCTTTACTGTCCGAGCCATTTTAGATATTTTTCCTTTTCTTTTGTTTATCTCTTCTTCATTTTTTTATCTCATTATCTTCTACTCCCTTCTCTTCTTCTCGATTCTTCCTTGTGTTTTTAATTTCTCAAAGTCATTTTTGTATGCATGTTAGTATTAAGTCTATTTTATTTAGCCCAATTTTATTCTGTGTTATATTTTGTTCGAATGATTGTTTGTTTCTATTTTTCTTTGGGCCCAAGACCTTATGAGTCTTTATGACTCTGTAAGTCATTAGTTGGGTAATTTTGATTGCTGATTGAACCTAGTTTCTAAAATCAGAGGCCCAGGAAAAAGGATTCGACCCGGGCCTTGCAAGCCCAGGTTTGGGCTGAACCATTGGGTCAACTTGACCCATGAGGTTTCAGGGGTAAAAACAGGGGTCCTAGGGGTTAATTTAGGAATTTAGGCTAGGGAATATATTTATAACTGATTTGGGAAGCTTCTTGGAAGGTGGCTTTGGGACTAATTTTAAAAGCTAATTTTTAAGCTAAGAATATAACAGCAAAAATGAAAATTCCAAAAGGACTTAAAGTGCAAAAACTGAATTCATTCTTGCTGCCCTAAGGCTTGCCTATGAAGGCATTCTTTCTTCACTCACAAGTCAAAAATTCAGAGATAAAAAAAAAACTGAAATTTTGAACAAACGGCTGAGTCTTCAAAAACACTGAAATCCATTATAATTTTTTGATGGAAATTGGTTAAGCTTCCTGTTGGTTCTAGTATCTGAGAGTTACAAAGAATTTCTGGGGTTATTTTCGAGTCTAAATTGGTTTTCAAGCTTGGTTGCTGGTTGATTTGTTGAACTGAACTTGCTGCTGCTGCTTCTGCTTGAACTCCCAGCTCATTTTTCTTGTTTGTTTTGTGTTGTGACCAGGTATTCCTCACCTCCTCGACATGTGAATGGAAGAACACGAAGTTTTTGATTGAATTGAAATCTATGGCATATCAGTTTGTTAAATGTTGTTTCCTACATTCCTGAAAATCATCAGATTCTATAATTAGTTTGATTTTCTTTGTTATGTTTGCTCTTTACTGTTTTAGTTTTAAGTTTGGTTGTAATATTGGATAAATCATGGGCTCTAACCACTTAGTCTAAATGAGTTTGAGTTTGTGTTTGTATAAATGGACTATTAAGGCTATTGCAATAGAAGATTCAGTCGATTTACTTGTGTTTTAGACTTGGTTTAGTTTTGCTGAAACCAGTGTTGTTTTGGTGTTGATTTCTGCTTGAACTTGTTAAAAATGACAAGTATTGGCTTGCTTACCTATGGCCTGAAACACAGTCCAATGATTTCAGAATTTGTCATTTAGTTCTGCCTCTGTTCATGTATGAGTACCTTGAAATTTAAATAAATTTTCAAACGGAATTTGAGTTTGATTTTAGACTTGAGAATTCTCAGATTTGGATTAATTCTTTACATTTGGTTTTCTTTAGAAAGCTTTGAGTCGTGTGGTCTTGTTTAAATGTGCTGGTCTGAAATCAGAATTTAGCATGAACTTTGATCTCTGAATTTTGATGTTAAATGAGGAACAATTTGTGTAAAGGTTTTTGTTATCACACTAGGAATTATATTTTCAGTATAGAATGTATGTTGGTATCCAAATGTGCTTCACATGTGATTAAGGTTGCCCGTATTTGTTCAAATTCAAGTATTTTCATGAAAAATTGTAATGTTCTTCCAAACGTTAGTGCTGAAACACTAAACTGGGCTACCAGCATTGGCCCAGTTGTGCCAAATTCCCCTCTTGCCATTAGGTTTTCGATTTAGGCTTCATGGTAAGCCCAATTGTGTTCTCGTTTTTGTCAAGTAACTGGCAATTGGCTATTGCGCTTCAGGCCAAGCCCAGGCCATGGAATAAATAGAACGATTTCATTTAGTGCAAGTCCTTCTGCGTAATGAATTAAGTGTGAACCTTAGCCTAAAGTAATTACAATTTCTTCAAGCCTTCTTTAATTAGTTAGACTCTTAAATAAGTTTGAGGTGTGCCATATTAGACAAGTTATAATTTATGGCCCTCACATAAATACAAAATTAGTTTAGAAATGCCTTGAACCTTCGTAGTTTGCTTAGGCGCGTTAATTAATTAATTGTCATAGCTACGGGTACGGTTCCTGTGACGTAGCTGTGGTACCTAATTCCCAAATCCGGGGGTACATTTATGTGACCCGGCCATAACAACTAATAATTTTAAATAAATTAAACATGTTGTAGATCGTGGGTACGGTTCCCGTGACACGATTCTCAATGTGTATCAAACAAACAAGTGTACGACAATCATAACTTGTTCCAAAATAATTCCATAAAAATAATTAAAAGCGGTTACAAAGCTAAAAATGCACAATAGGTTTAAAATATGTAATAAATCAGATAATAGGCCAATTTTAATAGTTTATGCGACCGTGCTAGAACCACGGAATCCGGGGGTGCCTAACACCTTCCCTCGGGTTAATAGAATTCCTTATTCAGAATTTCTGGTTCGCAGACTTCAAAAGGAAAGTCAAAAGTTCCTCGATTTGGGATTTAAAATAAACCGGTGGCTTAGGACACCAATTAAACTATCCCAAGTGGCGACTCTGAATAAAAAATAAATAAATAATCCCATTTCGAATAATGTCACTTAAAGTGGAAAAACTCCCTTATATCACCTTCGAGTGTGTATAAAGGAGGTGTGACAGCTCTGGCAACTCTGCTGGGGATAAGAACCCAGAACTTCTGGTTCAGGGTTCAGAATTCGAGCTTAGAATAACTGTTATATTTTGGCTTTATTCATTATCTGATTTTTACATATTTGAGCATAATGTGCTAAATGTCACTTTCTACCGCTTTGATATTATTTGGATTGTATATAAACTGTTACGAAACCCTTCTCTTCTCATCTTCGGGGATGTGCACGCTGGCGTGACTCCTCTTTCTGTTAGTGTCATACCTTGAAATAAGAAAGAGGCTCGGACAAGTTACAAAGCCGGACGGCCTTTTGGTTCCCGGTACGTAGCCCCTCCTCGGCTCGAGTTGTCCGCTCGGGTACACAAGTCTAGAACAGTATACCCAGGTTTTAAACTTAGAATAACTCAGCCTCATGCCGGATCCCTAGTAGGAACGTTTGTTTGCATCATGTGCATTTGACTTTGGGGACTCAACACAGGGGTTGGGTCCGTCTAGGACAGGTGGACCCCAGAATCAAAGACCATCCTGATTATTTTACGTGCTACTTGTACAATTCTTTGCTTCGGTTTGCATGTTGACCGGTTGCTAGAATAGGAAAAATAAAATTGAGGTATGAGAGAGTTGATTACCCACTTTTGAAAAGACCTGGTGTCCAAAATAAGCCGAAACTCTACAGAAATTTTGACAAAAAAAGGAAAAAAAAGGAAACAGAAGAAAGATTCTTTGGTTTCAAAAGTTTCATGTCTTTTCTCTATTTTTATTATGTCAAAACTGACCGAACTACGCAAGTTTGATTCTCACCGGATGTGGGATACGTAGGCAACCCCCATCGGGTCCAACTTCATTTTTGAAAAATAACTCAAAAGAACAAAATTTTAGTGTTTTGTCATAAATAAGTAAGGTGATGCCATTCTTGTCTAAAATAGTCAAATGTCCCTAAAAGGACGCTGGAAGACTGTTTTTGCAAGAACAACTACCTTTGGTCTCTTTTTCAAATTTTGGCCGGTTAGCAAACACAGCCCTAAAATCTTCTTTCCCGAAGTGCTGAAAGGACGTATTTGCAAAGCCGGGTTTTTATTTTTGAAATGAAAATTTTGAAAAAAAAAAAATTTTCTTATAGCTTTTTCTTGAGTCAAAATGAATCATGTGTCTTTAAAACTAAATCACCCTAATAAATATGCAGGATGAGCACAATTGAAAATGAACCCTTCGCAGTCTTGAACTACGTAATGATCTGATTCACGCGGCGTCGTGATACGTAGGCAATCCTCATCGGATCCGGTCATGTTTTTGTAAACAACTCAAATAAAAGAGGAATATGGAAGGAAAGAACCGAAAGAAAAACCAAAAAGAGAATCAAAGAAAAACCAAAAGAAAAATGAAAAAGAAGGGCAAAGCAAGAAAAGAGAGGAAAGAAAAGAGAGGAAAATGGGAACGGGGTGAGAGGCACAAAGAGCCAAAGTGGAAAGAAAAGAAAATTGGAAAAAATAAGCAAAGCCGGGATGAAACATGCAACCATTGCGAAACATGTAGAAACACATTTAACTGTATAGGTGCATCACACCCCAACGTGCCATTACCTATGTGTTAATTGCTTCAAACTGACCGGTTTGTTGTCTACTGTTAAGTACAGGTTTTACATTAAGGTGGTTGGTTTTGTGGTACTCTGGCTTCACATCCGTACTTCACAAGGTCAAAGGGAAGCGTTGAGATGTCATCTGAGGGTCATCTACCAACGGTTCCTATCCCCGAAGATAGCTCGATTTCGGCCATCCCAACTTCGGAATCGGCCGCTGCAGAGGAAAACAGAATTCTGCATCTCCGCATGATGGAAATGTGGGACGCCTGGTCTAATGGTAGGGAACCACCAAGTGTAATCCCTGGATTCCCCGAGCTACTTCCCAGGTCAAGTGGCACCTCCAAAGTACCCAAAAGTTACCCGAATACTCCGCTAGGATATCCTACCATTTCGACTCACTTTGCTGGAACACCTTCTGAGGTTCGCCCCCAGGTGTTAATGTCAGGTGCTGCCTCAAATATATTCACTGCACCACCTTGTTCAGCTACGGCACAACCCACTCTACCCAGGCCTAGCTTTGATCCATCAGCCTTCACCTTTCAAACACCATCTTTCCCAATGGAACCTACCCAGTTTACTACCAATGCTTACCCTCAGCCACCCCGGTACGAGTTTACCGCGGGGCAAGAAAAAACCACAAAAAACCCTGAACAAGAGGAGATTACCAGAAAAATGAGGAGCATGGAGCAGAGTCTCAAAAATATACAGGGTTTGAGCGGGCAAAAGAGCGTATCCTACGCTGACCTGTGTATGTTCCCACACGTGCATCTACTCTTGGGTTTCAAAACTCCAAAGTTTGAAAAGTATGACGGGCATGGGGATCCCATAGCCCACCTCAAGAGATATTGCAACCAATCGCGGGGAGCAGGTGGAAAGGAAGAGCTCGGTGAAATGGTTGAAAATGGGTTAAAGACAGGGCGTATATTAAGTCAGTCTGCTATAAAGGCTACCTCCCAAGCGATTCAAGGCGGGTCTGGAGGCGTAGCAAACCGAAAGAAGAAGGAAGAATCAGCAATGGCGACTTCGAGTGTAAGAAAACCCCATCCACCCAAACCTTACTTCGGTACAAATACCCCACAACACTACTATCCCCATCAAGATGCGGCCTACGCTATGGTTCCTCAGTTATACGCAGTGATGAATGCACAACCCTACGTTAGGCCGCAACAACAATTCAATCAAAACCGAGCTCCATTTCCTAGAAATTAACCTCATAACCAAGCTCAGTATAATCCCCGACCTTCGCAGAACAACTTCCATGCCCGGGAACCACCCAGGATGCCAAACTTCACACCCATTGGTGATTCATATTCCAGCCTTTTCCCCAAACTTGTCCAGATGGGTTTGTTGCAGCCTGTACCCCAAACCAGGCAGAACACTGCGTCGCCCGCTTATAGAGCCGGTACTCGATATGCTTACCACTCAGGGGCAGAAGGGCATGATACAGATGACTGTTGGACCCTGAAGAGGGCTGTGGAAAATCTGATAGAACAAAAGAGAATAGTGCTAAAGGACGAAGACGTTCCTAATGTAACCAACAATCCATTACCGGCTCACAATAACGCGCCGATTATTGGAACGATCTGTGAAGATAGAGAGTTTGACCCAGCTATAAAAGCCATCATTGCCATAGCCGATGTGGGAAAGAAGCCAAAGGCTGCTGTAAAACAAGACAAGGGTGAGAAGAAGAGTAAACTCACCCCTCAAAATACAGAAAAGAAATTGGAAACCAAAACTGGGGCAGCGCCCCCAAAAGATGCCATTCTCTATGTTCCCCGGGGCCACAAGAAAGAAAAAATGTCATTGAGCCCTCCAAGAAGGTGTAAGCTAAACAAGAGATCTAAAATGTATGTGCCTAAAGGGACCTACGTGGTGCGGGGGCCAGTAATTTCACCAAGGCTGAATGAGCCCGTGGTTATTGGCC